GGTAGGGCACAGTGCAGCGAGGTCGTTGAACCTAGCTGTGTAGGTGACTAGGTCAGACCCAGTCATTTTCAGATTCCAGAGCTCCTGCTCCAGCTTTTGCACTTCGCCCCTTGGGCAGTATTCTTCCAGTAGTAGAACCTTTAGATCGTCCCAACTCATGGCGTTGGCGACAGTGAGCGTCACTGAATTCACATGGCTTTTCCACCAAGTGAGGGCTCGATCCACGAAAGTGCAAGCAGCGAACTTGACTTTGCTTGCTTCTAGGCATGAGCAGATCTCGAAGACCGTTTCGGTCTTCTCGAACCATTGCATTAGTGCAATGACTCCCCCAGTTCCATTAAAAGTTTTTGGCTTAGCGTTAGAGAACTCCTTGTAAGTACATTCTCTTCCTTGACCATGACCAGTGCCATGATTTGGATGATTCGTGCTGCTTCCCGCCCCTCCATTTCCGTGAGAGTTTATTTGCGAGAGGGCTGCAGTTACTGCTGCTGTGATAGCAGCCTGGACCATGGCTGGATCATAAGCTGGTGGTGGAGGTGGTGGTGGTACCGTGCCCGGCCTGGGCCTTAGGTTTGGACGAGGAGGCATCGTGCTGCCAAAAGAAAAAAAATATGGAAAAATTTATAAGTTTTGGCAGTTCAGAGTTGAATGATATTGAGTTAACTTCTAATAGTTCTAAGAAGTTGGGTTTGACTGACACAATGTTTTGAGCTTGAAAGTAAAGTTTGAATAGATGTACCAATGAATCGAACGAATTGCGCATGATTAACAACAACAAGAAAAGGGGTATACCCTTATATATATTAAACATATAGTTGTGTTACAGCGGGGTCTAGACAAAATTTCTTGGCCTTTCTAAAGGCCTCCGATTACAGAACAATTTAAAGAAATAATACTTTTATCCGAAGTCCTAATTTATAACAAAATTTGAGAGTTGGGCAAGTACTACTTGCGGTGCGCTTTGCGTTTGGAGCTCGACTCCGTGTCGGACTGCTTCGACTCCATGAGGCGTCTATCAAACGCAGCTTGTTGTTCTCTTAATTCTGCGAAGGCCGCATTTGCTTGTGCTTGAAACGCTTCGGCGCGAATGTGGATGTCGTTCTGCAACAACTCTAGGCGGTTGATATCGGCCGTGTGGATTTGTACTTCCACATTGACCTCTCGGATTCGGTTGGCTTGCACTCCGGATTGATAGCACTGGTTGGCGAGTTTGCCAACCATGACCGGAAGTGCTCGGTCGGCTGATCCCCCGCCTCTCACATCATAGAAGTCTCGGCACATGCCGTAAGGAGGGCGTAAGCTTTGTTGTTGGCTCCAATGATGGAGGTGACTTCCCCACACTGGAGTGGGTCCTTGGAAATTCCTCACGTGGACGGGAGATTGTGGATTGGTGGATTTATAATTTCTGGCTCCGAATCCGTGCCAGAGTCATCCCCTCCCTCCAACTCTATAGGCTCTTCGTCTTCTTCAGGATCTTCTTCAATCCACCCTCCATTACCTTGGTTGGGGTAGTAGGGGTCATTGGGGTGATGGAATCCCGCCATTTAGACTGTACGAGAATAGAGTTAAAAGTTTACTATAAGCTAGAGCACATGAAACTTACCCTTAAGTTTAATGGTTGACGGCACTCGAATACTCCCTCAATATTCTTTAGCGATATGCTTTTGGTAAGTTTTAAATTTGTTGTCCATTACAGACACTCCTTGGCATACGTTAGTCGGCTCTTGGACAAATATAGTTGATCAGGCTATATTCTTCCCAGTTCCGATTACATGTCCCAAGGCGTACCTGTGCTGCACAACTTATTTATAATACTTCTAAAGTTATTTACTATGAAACTGTTATTAGTATAAAAATGAGTGCATGCTTACCTTAAAACTAATTAGGTTTACTTTCAAAAGTATGAATTTTTCTCAGAGTGTTTTTGCCCAGTTGAGTTTATAGTTGTATATCAAAAAGGAATGGTTTTGATATACTTAATTCCCTATAAACAAAGCTCTGATACCAATCTGTCACACCCCCAAACCAGAACGGCGGAAACGTTCGGGGCGGAGGACGTCATATTCAGTATCATAACAGTTCATAGAAAGGAAAGTACACACCACCATATATATTAAAGTTTCCAAGATGTTTACATAATTGTATTCATTACATGTTCAAAAGATAAATACATAAACATCATCCAAAAGAAGTAATTAACGCCAGCGCGTTAATCCCAAAAGTTGATTCCCAAACCTGCTTAGCGGTTCCCTGAGAATACAAGTTATTTCAAAGAAAAAGTGTCAACAATTAAGTTGGTGAGTTCATAAGTAGTTTAGAAAAATTGGATGCCATTCCAAAATGGGTGTATATTTTCCAGAAAACGCAGCATTTCAAATGTAAAGAGTTGTGATTTGTTGTGTTGAAAGTGAATGTATTAGATCCAGAAAATCCCATATTTTCCCTAATGGTTGAGATACGAGTTGTTGTGTTTTCCAAGAAAAACCCTTATTTTCTTATAAAAGTATGAAATGCATATAAATGTTCGTGTTATAAGTTGTAAATAATTGCACCAGGAAAATCCCTTATTTTCCTATTAGTTGTTTGGTTTGTATGCAGGAGAAACCCTTATTTTCCTAACATAAATGGCAGTCTCTAAGACCGAAAATCGCAAGAAACCGACGTTCTCAAAAGTTGTGTCATAGTTTTATATAGTAAAACTATACGAAGATCGCATTTATTAGATGAAGAATAGTTTTAATAGCTACTCGTTCATAAAAGCATAATACCATAATAATTGTATATCCGATGAGTTTTATAACCATACTAAACATAATATGCCTGTAACGACGTTCTTCAGGCGTCGCAGCGTTATGACAACTGTCACCCCAAAAGACGGACTGTAGCTAACAGTCAGGGCGCGGGATCATGACTTCCCGTATAGATCTATACACATTTGACACGTTCTCCGAACGGGAGACTCTGGTTATAGACAGGACTTGCAGCATTACTTTCTAATAAAGAAAAGTAACGTTTGAAGATATACACGTCTCATGGATTCTCAACTAAGCCCGTATTAAAGTGATAGTTTTCTATGCAAAGTTTATCCTTTTTCACAATGTTTGACAAAGCAAAATCATAAGTTTTTAGAATGTATAAAACGACTTAACAATGAAAGTTACTTTGAAATCATTATATACTTTGTATAATGTCTAATGCACGCAAAGTATGACAAGAGTTTTCCATAATAGTAATGAGTTCCAAGTGATTTATTCGATAAAACAAGTGAAGTGAAACTTTATAAAATACACGATAATAACCGTATGTTTACTTGTATTCCCCCCCTAAAAGAGTATAAAAGCATTTAAAATGTATTTAAAGTGTGTTTGAAAGGGGTATGAACTCACTTGAAAGTTTGAAGATAGCAAGATGGAAAACCGGGCAGAGTTTCGTCTCGGGAAATGGATTTTCCTCGGAAATCTCGGGATTCCTCGGGAGAAAAATCGACCTTCGGGACTTGCACAAAATGACCAGGGCTTCGGGGTAGTGCGAGCACGGAAAACGAGGTAAAACGCAAGAAAAAGGAGAGAGAATTGGCCATTTTCCCGGGAACCCTCGCATGCTATTTATAGGGGGGCCTGAGAGGCCTCATACGTGGGGCGTACGCTCGTACGTAGCGCGTACGCGTACGTCATGCGTGACCAAAGCCTCGACTGCCTCGGCCTCGGATGGGACGGCTCAGGCAGTCGGGTCGGATGGGACAACGGGTCGGACGGGCGGGTGGGATGCCTCGCATAGGGCGACGTGGACGGTTTGAGGCCAAGTTCCTCGGGTACGCGGGGCGTACAGGAGTACACAGCGCGTACCTCGGATGAGGACGCTGACTCCCCTTCGGATAATACCGAAGTTTTAATAAAAATATATATATAAATTATTTATCAAACTTCGAAAATTCATATCTCCTTCATACGAACTCCGTTTTTGACGTTCTTTATATCCCCGCGAAGGTGAGACTACGATCTACAACTTTCATTTAGATTCCGTTGGCAAATTCCGGAATTATTTTTATTATTTATTTATTAAAATGACGTGATTAAGGAATTTCTTTAAAAATTCATAACTTATTCATACGATGTCCGATTTGAGCGTTCTTTTTATGCATGTTTGTAGTTTAACGATATCTACGACTTTCATTTAGACACCTAAGGTCGGAAAGTGTTTTATTGAAACTTTGCGTTTTTACGCAACTTCGTATTGCCGGTTTTTGTAGTATAACTTAGAATGATCATAACTTCTTCGTTATAACTCGGATTTTTGTGTTATTTATATGTTTGGAAACCTTAAGACGATAACTACCACATAGTGTACTCCAAATAGAGTTTTTGAATACTTCATTTTTCGATGATATTCTAATTCCTTTCTCAAAGAGGTTACAGGATTCGATATTTACTTACTTGAAATAGCGGGTTGTTACACTGAGCATCCAAAATCCCCCTAATTGATTCTGGGGCTTTCATTTTCACCCTATGAACTTTCATGTCTAACAATACAACGTAGTATTTCTTCTCAAGCATCTCACGTAATGCTCTAAGTGGTATTTCTGGGTTTGACTCCATTGTGTCAATAATCTGTTCAGAGAGAAACTTGTAGTTGCATGCCCTAATTTTCCTTGTTTGAAGACATGTATGTTGCTTTTCATATGTCTTTACAGTCCAGTTAATGTGTTTTTCCACTTACTCACTAGTAGGAACCATGGGCATTTATGAATAGAATCATCTTTGGCTTTCTTATTCTTTTGACTTGGTCCCACTTTGTCATTACTTTTGTTGGTCCCAACTATTTCTAATATCCCAAGGTTTGGTTTAGTACCTTTACAAACCAATCTAATCCTGTTTTTTTCATTCTTGACGAAGTCTAACTCCCTTGTACTATCTATAGAATGAAGATAATTTTGTTGTTTAACTTCCTTGGTTGTGCTAAAAGTTTGGTGGATGTAAAATGGATCTTTGACAGCAGTTGCTTCATTCTTGTGTGCTCTTTGTAAATCTCTTATCTTGTTCATTTTTTTTACTAGCTTCACCCTCATCCGATGAAGATGCATATACTAATTTTTCAGTGTCTATAACCTCTAATTCTTCATCACCTTCTACTGCTTTATTTCGATTATCAGGAAAACTTCCAACCCACTCCACCTCTTTGTCAACATTGAGGTGAAAGTTCTTCATATCAACCTCTGGATCATCTAACAAATTATCTTCATCAACTATGTAATCACTATCTTGATTGTCTTCACTATCTTGACTATCTTTACTAGCTTGACTTTCTTCACCTGCTTTTTCACTATTTGGTTCATCTGGTTCCATAGGAGTCCCACCAAAAGGTTCACACCATTTAAATGTATCATCCCAACCATCAACGTTAGGACATGTGCTTCCCATTATTGGTTCAGTCAAATGGATTTCAATTCTTGGTATATAGGCAGGGGTTAACTCAACTATTTCACTCAATGTAATAAGGGGTTGTTCCAAGGTTGTTTCAGGTAATATACTAGGGGGTTGGTCCATAGTTTCTACATTCTCAAAAATAGGGGCTTCTTCACTAGGACTATCCCCTGAATTTGACCATGTCAAGAACAACCTTTTACGACAAAGGGACTCAGGAATTTCGTGTATCTTTATCTTCGCAGGGTTTGGGGACATTTGATACGTATGCAGCTTGCTTACCCAAAATTCTGTATACACTTCTATCACCTTGTATTCATAAACGTATGACCTAAATTGGTTTATATCTTTGTTACAGCCCAAACCATACAACCCAAAATCTAAATCACAGGTTACTCATTTGAAATGGTAGTAAATACTTTTACCTGGTTCCACACAATCAAACAATTTCATTATCTCATCCATATTATGCACCAAGAACAAGTCACTATCAATGCCATCAATGTATTTCATCTTCCCCTTTATGTATTTGCAGCTTGGAAACTTCATAAAAACTCCACCATTGTTCAATCGTATCTAGAACATAGATGGATTGTCAGCTGCAAACCCAAAAAATAAAAAATAAAACATTTTTTTTACCTTTTAGGAACGTATAATGGATGATCAATGGAGTGTAGAAAATATTACTGTATGAGCTTTGGAGAACGTATTCCTCCCATTCTTGCCTAATCCTCCAGTTCACCATCGTAGAAAACTAGGGTTTTCTTGTGCAATGCTAAGGGTCGACGGAGGATGAAATGAGAAATGATCGGTTGTGAAAGTCGCGCCATAATGGTTCATGTATACAAACCCTGAAAAGACGAAAGTACCCCTGCGTGCAAGGCATGTGGGGAGCTTAAACGAAAGTATTTAATGGTTAACGTCTATAGGGACTAACCATGCAAGAAAAATAACAATGAGGCACTGCCCGAGTTAAATTTTGGAAATAGGGACTAAACACGCTTTCTGGCATGTGCACGAGGGACTAACGGTGTAATTTACCCTATTAATTATTGAGTAAATTATGTGAATGGTTATGTGGTTTAAGGTAATTTACGCATTTGGTACATAATTTATTTTTTAACTCGGATCATTCATGTGGTTTGATTTTGTTACGCCATTGCTCCCTGTTGTATTCAAAATGACTAGTATACCCTTGTTTATTATTTTAATTGTTTTATTTACAATTAACTTATTACAAAAATTGTTTAATAGTTGTGGGTCCCATTGTTCTTATCCCATTAAAGTTTAAACTTTAAAGGACACCTAATTTGCCTCTAGTATCGATTTAACTCTGCAACCACCCATGCCAACTTCAAAATCATAACAATTCAGACCCAAAAAATCAAACACTACTAACCTTATTTTTGAAATCCAAAACTCAAAATCAATTATGGTGAAGGAAATAAAACAAAATCTGGTTCTGATTCATTACTTAAAGTACTAGATAAAAAACTCATAAATAACTATTACTAAACAATCGACTTCATTCCCTGTAACCTAAACCTAATCATCAAGAAAGGTAAGTTCAGAAATTGAAGGGTAAGAGGCAAGTAAATCAAGTTTTTCAGAAGGAGGCACAAGAACCACTAGTGGTGGGTAAGAAGGTGGTCGTTGACACCACCACTCATTCACGAAGACGTCATCAGTAGTGGCAGTAAAGTATTGGAAATGTCGTCGTCATCCTTCCCGACGGTGGTGGTTAACTTTCCAGGGGACGACAGTAGTAGGTGGAGCAAAGAGGAATACGACTTAAAGATGTGAGTTTAGATGCAGATCGACGATAGATTGTGCCTTTAGATGCAGATCAGTAACTCTCTAACTCTCTGGTGGGTAAGATGCAGTCAACGACTGTAGATGATGGTCTAGATTTAGATGTAGATTGGCGATGCTTCCGACTTTCCTTTAATGTCTTTAGAAGATTCGATTATGGTGGCAGACCGTCGGCTTCACCGTAGGGCTCACCGACGATGACTAATAGTAGTTGAGGGAAAGAGACGAGGTCAATGTAGAATAAAGGTACAAAATTAGCTTTGGTTACCAGTAGCGGGTGCGCTGGATACCAAAATTTTAAGGTCTGATGGTGGTAGAGGATACTAGAAATTTTAGGTTTGTTCTTGTACTTTGTTGTAACTGGTATGGGAGAACTAAACATTAGTTAAGTAAAGTAAAAAAGGGAAGAAGGGTTGATGTAGGTAAGGTAAAAATGAAGAATGGGTGACTGGATGAATGAGACTATATTAATTACGTAATATCTTATAAAAATTCATAATAAATTTTACAATTAAAGTAATAAAATAAGGGTATATTAGTCATTTTAAGTCTGTTAGGGACCAATGATGCAATAAAATCAAACTATAGGGATGATTCGAGTTAAAAATATAAATTAGGGACCAAACATAAAAAAACCGTAAATCATAGGGACATTTGTGTAATTTACTCTTAATTATTAAACATTTTTCTCGAATGAAACTATAAATCAAGGGTTTTATGATATAACGAACCCGGGACAACTCATACATTCCAACAAATGAAGGACTCTTGAGGACTATAAAAATATCAAGTTTTTAAAACATAAACATAACAATTCCAGTTGTTGTATATGATAACTTAGTTTTTTTTTCTTTTGTTTTATATAACTTATTAATAAAAATACATCTATATATTTCCATTATTGTTGGTCGGAACGGTGATACCGAGATCAATAAACATGGATTTGTATGGGATTGAAACATATTCAAACAAAGTTCAATACAAGTTACAAGTTACCAGGTGTCAAGAAAAGTTCAATACAAGTTACGAGGTGTGGAGTCCACACTTGTAAAATCTAGTTTGATCATAAACACAAAGAATAGCCCAAAAACTAAGTGTAAGAATTTGTAAAATTTAAGTTCAATACACAATGTAGTGTAGGAATTAAGATACGAAAAATGTACGAAAAAATGGTTAAGGTTTGTGTTTAACACCATGTCCTTAAAATAAATTTGTCCGCTAGCGGGTGTTTGTTTCCCATGATACAACAATTATAACAATTCTTCAATATTGCCGAACCTTCTAAACCTAAATAATACATTCACATCAGCAAGAAAATGACAACAATAGAGGAGATGACACTTTGATATTTTTCTAATGGTGATGGAGGGTCTGTATTTATACACCAAACCATAATCATCACTTTAATGGCGTAATTAAACACCCAGATTGTAAATTGTAACTGAAATAGTGGTTAATATTGTCATTAATATGAATTTGAAACCGGCTATTAATTAAAATGTTCGTTATGGAAAAAAAAATTTGCTAAAATGTCCATGAACGTTTTATAGTCGATTGGTAGTGCATTTGTACCCATAGAACGCGCACCCGTACACAAGCTTAGTGAAGCCAACTGATATATATATATATATATATATATATATATATATATATATATATATATATATATATATATATATATATATATATATATATATATATATATATATATATATATATATATATATATATATATATATATATATATATATATATATATATATATATATATATATATATATATATATCATATCTTAATATTTTTAGCCATTTTTATGTTCATTATAGGACAAAAGATACTTAATCTATTATATGTTGTGTTGTAGAAGTAAAAGACATACTCGAGAACGAAAAGGAAGGAAGTTTGAGCTTACGAATTTGGATTAAGGCTAAAATTAAGAAAAGTCTGCTTACCACGATGCGGCATTTTGAAAATTCCCGACAAATCTCGAAGGCTTGTTGATTATTTTATAAACCCAAAGACCACGTTGTGGTGGACTAACCTCGACGTGGTGAACCGACTTCAAGAAAATATATATAGAAGGCACATTTCTCTGAAAACCTAACTTTTTATGGAGCTTTAGTCAACTTTTGAAGGCCAAGAATGTTGTTTGGAAGCTTGGAGTTGTAGAAGATCGATTAGAAGCTTGATTATGAGAGATTTGAGGTAGAACTTTTTATATTTACTTATTCTACTTGTGTTTAATCATGGATTACATGTTGAATTTCGTTTTTACATGTTTGTTTGTTGAACTTAATCTACTAAATACCCTAACTTTCGTTTAGACTAGATTAGATCCTTATTATGAGTTGATTTATGGATTGGATTATGCTAAGTTGGTTATTTGTTATGCCAGCTTATTAAAGAACCTCTCTATGCTTATGATAACTACTAATCTGTTTATTGTTGAGCTTAATTAAGTTTGCATGACCTATCATTCTTAACCATTAAATCAACCGTAATAGCAAGTATATCGAATCTAAACGAATGTATCTCATTGATCTTGATTAAAGTTGTAACACCCTGTTCCGAAAATGACTGTTTATAGATCTCAAAGGCCAGGCCATGGGCATTTGGTCTTTTACGGGTTTTGAGTTTTTATTCGAAAGGTTTTGGGTCGGGGTGTGTCACTAGAACTGTAGGGCTTCTCGCCACCTCCGCGTGGATATAAAGTTCGTCGGAAAAGGACTTAGAATGAGGGAGTTATAATACTTTGAAGTTATTGACATTAATGGTCCCTTAATGGAAAAGTTGGCAAAGAAGGACCATGCATGCAAGGTGATGAACGCGCGAGTACGCCTAGCGTAAGGCTGGGCTACGCCCAGCGTATAAGGGCATAAGATAGCGGGTGCTTTTGGCGTACGCCTAGCATATAGAATGTACACCCAACGTACGTCCAATGTCCAGAAACCCTAATTTAAGGGTGAGCCACTATATAAAGAACATAATAGCTCAAAACCTAGCCTCTTTATCCGTCCCCCAATCTTAGTGAAAGCCTAGAACGCCTCATCTCTTCATCCTTGGGTGATTTTGATTTCAAGAAACTCATTATGGGGTGGTGTAAGCTTGGAAGAGGCAAAGAAAAAGTTGGTAAGGAAGAATCTGGAAGGTTAGAGCTCGTAGATTTGGAATAGCATCCTCATTTGGAACTCTTTGGAGGTATAAAGTTCATAACTTTACTTAATGGTGCTTAGATCTAGTGTAGTATGGTTTTGAAGTTAGTTTTGGTCCCAAGATTGGACCTTTATGATGAAATTTCATTTATGAGCTTGGGGTTGCCACCCTCAGAGCTAAAAGGGTCCCATAAGCACTAAAGTCTCCATATTGAAGGATTTAATGGATTCATGCATGAGATCTAGCCCTCTTCATGGAAGAAGAATATCATTTTGGGAGTTTAGGCTTGTTT